GAGGTGGAGGTTGCAGTGAGCCAAAATGGTGCCACTGAACTCAAGCCTGGGTGACAGAGTGAGACCCTGTCTCCAAAAAAATAAATAAATAAAAATAAATAAAAAATAAAATAAAATAAAGGTACTCAAAAGGGTAGGCATTATCACCAGGACTTATAATCAGTGGTTCAGTCACCAAGGTGCTAAAGGGATCTGCAGATTGTATAGTTGGAAATTTTCTCCTATCTTCTTCCACTAGTCAAGTTGCTTTGCATCAGAATTCACTCATGAGTCACGGACAATCTTTTCTTGGTCACCTCTAAAATAGAGAGTGGGGACTTTATCTTTGAGATGGCTTTCTTTCCAGTGGCCATAATTGTTTTGGTATTTTAGTGTTTATATATGTTTCAACAGCACAGAGGGACAAGCTAACTCAGGTAGAACTTCATGGCCTCCAGCAAATTCCCAGTACGTGATTCTTGGTAAGACAAAATTGAATGGAGAGAACATGTGCTTTGGAATCAAGCACATTTAGCAGGTTATGAGGCTGATTCTGTCAGTTCACTGCATGACTTTGAGCAAATCATCCATCTCTTTAAACTTGATTCATCTTCAGTATAAAAGTTGGGATCACAGTATCTACACTGGAGCTGTTGTAAATATTTAATACAATCTAATAGTAAAGGTCCAAGCAGAGATGCTCATTAAACATTGTCAGTATTGTTCCTTTTGCCATACGCTGGTATCTACAGAGAGAGGAAACCTTCGTTTCTTTTTTTTTTTTTTTTTTGAAGTCTATAGAAGTTGTGATATAAAGATTATTTATAGTATAAAATACTCATTTGTCCATCTGTAAGCATCAATATGAGCAAAAATACATTAGACTAAACCCTATAGAATTACTGGTAATTGATATTTTGACCACTAGCAATGGTAATGCCATATGGTTCAAATAAATGTAAGCAATTCGTGTTTATCTATGTGTTTCTAGAATTGTTTTATTGAATGAATAAAATGGCATAATTCACTTAAAAATCCAGAACATACAGTTATGCTAAACCTTCGGTTTCCATGTCAGTAGGATGTGTGAGAATTTCTTTGAATGCAGTGAGACCCAGAATGAATGTGTAATTCCTCTGAAATGAAGCTTCAGGAATAAATCTGGGAGTCTGTGGCTAAATGGACAAAATACACCCTGTGTTTGAATTCAGACTCCTCTACATATGTGGATGAATGGTACTGGGCACATTCCTTACCCTCACTGAGCCTCCGAGTCCTCATTCATTCATTAAATGCTGCCGCTGAGGCTTGCTTTAAGGATTAATTGAGACAAAATATTTCAAGCTCTAGTTCAGTGTCTGATCTGTAGCAGGGGCTTAGTAAAGGGCTATGACGCTACAGCACATTTTCTGGGTCCCTGTAATGGCAGAGACTTTGTAGAGAAAGAGGAGCAGGTATTTCGGTGTCTTTAGAAACCACCCATAAGGTAAGAAAAAACATTGGTTCCTGGCGCAGGAGAACTGAAAGAGTTCTTTCCAGGCCTCCCAGTGATAGACGAGGCCACAACACTGTGAAAACTGTCCATTCTAAAGGGTAGGATTGAGGTGTGAGGCAGATAACTTGTAAGGCGGTTCCCAAGATCTCTGCCTCTTGGTATTCACATCCTTGTGTGAGCACCTCTTTTGAACCTGGGCTGGACCTAGTGACCCACTTCTAGTGAACGGGACATGTGAAAAGGGAAGGGATATCATTTCTGATATTAGTTTATAAAAGATATGACTTCTGTCCCGAGTGCAGCCTGTCTCCTACTGTTTCCTCGCTTGGTTACAAGAATGAATCAAGCTGTCCTATTGGGACCTGCCCTATGGAGAAAGCCATAGGACAAGCAAATGGGGATGACTCCCAGCCAGTGAAGAACTGAGACCTTTAGTCCAGCAGTCCTTGTGGAGCTGATTCCTGCCGGCAACAACATGAGTGTGCTCAGAAGCAGATTCTGTTCTCAGGTAAGCCTTAGATACCTGCGGCCCTTGAAAGCACCTTGGCTACCTTCTGTAGGAGACCCTGAAACTGAAGACTCAGTTAAGCTGTGCCCAAATATTCCTCACCTATGAGACTGTGGGGCAATACATACTCGTTGCTTTCATTCAGCCACTATGCTTAGGGAGAATTTATGTGGCAATAAATGGCATGAGGTATGTGTGGAAACAGTTACAATCCTTTTGTGTTGCGGTGGAGGTCCAGGGTACCTGCTATAGAGGCAGTCAGCACACAGTGTGGCTCTAAGATCTTCTTGCCTGGCAAACAGCTGGTGGAGGTGGAGAAAGGGGATCTCGCTGGGGTGGATGTTCCTGGGACCTGGACGTTAAGATCGGGCATATAAATAAATAAGAGAAGATCAATGCTAACAGTCATAGGGAGCTTTGCAGCACCATTTCCACCAAGATGGACCTGAAACTTCTCTTCTATGGGATACGTGCTTGGAAAACCACCGCTATGGAGCAAGAAGAGGGCAATAGAAACATTTCTTGGAAGTGGTGCCTCCCAAAGCCTCATTTTCTCAAGTCAAGCTAAGTCCCTGCACCTTCTGGTTTGTCTCCGCCTTTCTCCTCTGAAGAGTAGGCTGCACAGGCATGGTCCGCCCCCAGCAGGCAGACATGCCTCATTCCTCAGTCCTGCCCTGTTACCATTTTTGTTGTGCATCTTGTGCTAAACTTACTTCTCAGCTGGAAAGCCGCCTCAAGGGCAGGGTGGCACGGTGGAGAGGGCAGGGGCTCTACGTCTGACCTGTCTGACATCTGATCTTGGCCCTACTGGCTACTTGCTGGGCAGTCTTGGCGAATTTGTTTAATCTTTTTGAGCTCTGGACTCATCAGCAAGAAAAAGGGAATGATCATATGTACTTTACAGGGCGGCTCTGAAAATTAAGCCAGACAAAGTGCTTGGCACGAGAGCTTGGGACGCGCTGACAGCAGTGTGGTTGTAGCTCGTGTCTGTGTTATTTTTCTGAGAGTCTCCATGCAGGGCCACAGCAGGACTCACTTGGTTGGGGTCACTTAGGCTCTGCCCTGGCTGGCAAACATTGCACTTGTAGGTGCCCTCCTTAGAGCTCTCCAGCCCCAGGACAGACTTGGGGGGACATCAGGCAGGAGGACTGTGCTGGGATGTGACCCACTGGGAGGCATCCATGTGTGACAGAGCCAGAGGCAGCACCTGGGCAGTGACACCAGTGCCTGGGGACGTGGTTTGCCTGGGAGTCAGGTGGGGCTGGCCCTCCTCCTGGTGGGTGCTCTGTGCCTGAGGCAGAGCTGGGCTGCAGGGAGTGGGGGCTCCTCATTCTGTTACGGCCACTTACAGGGCTGGAGAGCTGTGTCTGGAATCTCTGAATCACAGCCTCCTTGGGTTCTTCTGAAGGCACATTGCACCTTCTAGAAGGGTATGACTCAGAAGGAAAGAGAAAAACCTCCACCGGAGAGAGGAAATGGCTGCAGTGTTTACTTTATTTGAAAACAACACATGCTTTTATTAAGACATAAATGCCAGTGATGGATTCTGCTCTTGGCGTGTGGCCGTGCTCCCCAGCCCTGAGGTGAGATGGCTGGGAGATGTTAGCCCCTACAGAGAAAATATTTACCTTGCTGAGCTATCATGAGACAGAGTAAGTGAGCAGAGGGCAGCAGGTCCCTTTGACCACCTCATTCCAGGGAAAATAAACAGGGCCCCTGGAGCAGTCACTAAGAGAGGGGAGCAAGTATCCTCTTTCTGCAGTAGAATCTCTGAAAATTTGGATAACGTTAATTGTGCCACCGTGGTGGCAGTGCAAGAAATTCCTGTTCATCCCACTGCAATGATGATTAAGGTAGCAAACACCCAGTCGGGGAAGTCAGGCTCCGGCCCTGGAGAATAGTTGAGGATCGCCTGTAGCATATTGTTCCACTCTGCTGGCATCCTAACTAGACAGCTTTAGTTTTAGCATAAAATCCATATTCCAGACCTTTATGGAGCAGAGAGGCAAACTCCAATGCTGCCGTTGCAAGCATCAAATAGCATTAAAATGAATTAAGGAGATTAAAGACTCTCGATGCTGTCGGGGCTCTTCTCCATCCCCTCTGTTTTCTCCAAGGAGCTGTTTTAAAGGCGTGGGGGCAAATTGGAAGAAGGGAGCGGGAAAAATGCAAACCAATCATGCTAACCTCGCTCTGGAATCAAAGTCTGACTCTATACCACGCATGGATTTAATTGGGAGAGAGGTCTTTTAGAGACACTTTGGGTGGGTGCATAGATCAGTCTGGAGTTTCACAGTACGGCTTCTTCCAAGGTCAGAGCGTGTGTCCAGGGCCATCCCCACTTCTTGGTGGACAGGAAGACATCTTCGGTCCCGTGGTGTGACAAAAAACCCAAAGAGGGCGTCAGATGTGTGCACTCTGGTGTTTAGAATTTAAGTAAAATCTGTAATTTTCCCCCTGCATTTCCTTAGAGAAATTAGCTATTCTATTCACTGCATAAATTTTCAGGTTTTGCTAGCACGACACTCAGGGTGTTGAATTTTTTATGACAAAAATGCTGTAATAATTGTTGAACAGATGTAAGTGTTGGAGACTCGGCTCTGGCAGACCTCACGAAACCTCGATTAGCAATTTAACCCTGTCCTCCCTCCTGTCCGCACGCCGGGGGAAGAGGAGTTGCAGTTTTGAATGGCTTCACTGGGATGTGCAAAAAGGCAGAGAAAGAGTTTTCTGGAGAGCAGGGGAAGTCCTTTAACGAGCTCGTATGCCCAGCCAGAAAAGGAAGAACTCGGTGCAGTCTAACCCTGAAATTACCACATTACCAAGTTGTCTAGCTGGGTGATTAATAAACTAATTGACACGGGGGACACTTGTCACTGGCGAGGCAGCTCCCGAGCCAAAGCGAGGAGCAACTACACAGCGTCTCCCGGGGAGCCGGGAAGTGACAGTCTACGCCCGCTTCCGGGCTCCCGGTGACATAGGCCAGCCGGGCCTCCATTTACACCTCAAAGCAAAGTCACAGAGGGATCCACCCCTTTCCTGGCTGCCTACACAGAAAGCAGCCATGGGGGACTTGCCGAGGACTTTGTCCACCAAGTGATGAAAGCATGCAAATGCCTCCGAATCAAAGGTAAATCAAAAGAAAATGGCAGCCCGCAAGAGGAGGCGGCGGTGACAGCCCGTCAGCCGTGGAGCCACCCGACAGGCCTGGTGGCAGTGTGGAGGCTGCCAAGAGAACCGCCTGAGGAGGCTGCCGCCAAGACAGATGTCACGACGAGGAGGGCGCGCTTCCGTCGCTTTCGGCGGGGCCTGATGGAGCAGGAAGTGGTACTACAAGTGCCACTTAAGAGAATAATAATACTAATAAAACTGGGAGTTGTGAAGGGGGAGAGGTGGGGAGGAAAGGCTGGTGACAGAGAGAGAGAGAAGAGGGAAAAGGCATGTCACAATGTTTGGTAAAGGAGGAACTGAATTGATGGCCATCCTGAAGTTGGTGTGTGTGCGCACATGTGCGTCCTTTAGCCGGCTGGCTTTCCCTAGGGCTTACAGCATCTTCAGAGGCATTGTGCTGGTGGAGACGTGGGGTTCTGGTGACAGCTGTGCCTTTGCAAGAGAGGAGAGGTGACCACAAGGCCACAGAGGTCCTCTAGTTTTTAGAGCCCTCTTTTCTGCCTCTCCTGGAAATTGAATTTTGGTTTCCTGCCAAGATTGGGTTGCCCATTATACAAAGCAAACTCCTGCTTGGGGCATCGCAGAGCTGCAGAGATGGAGGGAGACAGAGGCAGGTGAGGAGAGCCTCAGTGTCTGATTTTCGCTGTGTCTGCCTCTGTGGTGTTTGTGGATGGGTCGTGAGCTTCAGCCCAGGAGCCCACGATATTTGGACCTTAAGTACTAAAAATAATCTGCTCCCCTTTTCATGGGTATTTTAAATTAAAATTAATATATAACTGGACAGGTATAGTGGTTCATGCCTGTAATTTCAGCACTTTGGGAGGCCGAGACAGGAAGATTGCTTGAGCCCAGGAGTTTGAGACTCACATGAGCAACGTGACAAGATCCTGTCTCTACAAAAATAAGACATTTAAAAAATTAGCTAGGCATGTTGACATGTGCCTGTGGCCCCAGCTACTTTGGAGGCTGAAGTAGGGAGGATCTCTCGAACCTAGGAGGTTGAAGCTGCAGTGAGCAGTGATCCTACCACTGCACTCCAGCCTGAATGACAGGGTGAGATCCTGACTCAAAAGAAAAATGTGAGTGTGTGTGTATAATAATTATACACACACACACACACACACACACACACACATAGACATTGCAGCAAGAATGTCCAACATAATAGCTCTTATGTGGTTTTTATATGTCAAGTTTTTCTAAAAATTGCTGCTGACTTTGGGGTGAGACTTCTTCTATTTTGCCTCTGCTCTGAGCAGGTGTTTGGGCTGCATGTTGGGAAATCCAATCCCAGAAATTGTGTAAAAAATAAACTATGTTTTTTCAATTCTAAGACAATTAACTTTTGTCTAGGAAGTGATTGCAGATAGGTTCTTAGCCATAAATGTATAAAATTGTTATAAACCACAACATATTGGTTTGACCATAAGAAATTCACTTTTCTAAATGTCCCCCCTCCCCCAAAAAGCATTTGGGAATAATGCGGGCAGTAAAACAGTCTAAAGATGTAATATCCAAGTGCCTTGGAGGTGAAAGACCATACACTTTATCTTATTCTCACCATTCCTACCCCAACCTGCATTTTATAGGCAGGAGAGTTGCTGGTTTTATAGTGTAGGAACAGTTTTAGTGCCTCTACCATTATCCCATTTTTGCAAATACTTCCAGAGGAAGTCATTTTGAGATTGCTGAAAATTCTCATAGGTGTAACTATGTGATAAGTCCTTCAGGGCAGAGAGAAGGTGGGTGGAATTAGCCCAGCCTGGTGAAGTGTGAACAGGATGCCCATGGGTGAGAATCTGTCCTGGGTCCAAATAAAGCCTTCACAGGTGGATGTGTGACCCTTAGCATCTCCAAGGCTGAATAATAACCCTCCCTACAGCAGCATGGCCAGTGTTAAAATGAACAGAAAGCTTACATTGCAGCAGGTGTTGCTGGAAGGGCTTTATTGATATGTGCTGTACTGAGCATCATAAAGCAATCAGGTGCTAGTGACTGAAACCCTGGGATGGGCTCTATTTATAATTTATTGTTCACTTAATTTAAGTGTAATTATATATATAATATATATAAAATTATATGCAATATTTAAAATATATATATATATATATTTTTTGACAGAGTTTTGCTCTTGTCACCCAGGCTGGAATTCAGTGGTGTGATCTCTCCTCACTGTAACCTCTGCCTCCTGGGTTCAAGCAGTTCTCATGCCTCAGCCTCCCTAGTAGCTGGGATTACAGGGACCTGCCACCATGCCCGGCTAATTTTTGTATTTTTAGTAGAGATGGGGTTTCACCATATTGGCCAGGCTAGTCTTGAACTCCTGACCTCAGGTGATCCACCCACTTTGGCTTCTCAAAGTGCTGGGATTATAGGCATGAACCACCGTGCCCGGCCGATAAATTTCAAAGTCTAAATAAAATGCAGTGGGAGTCTGACATTCACTTTTAAGACCATTTCACTAAAAGTTACCATCTAAGGGGATCATCTCTGTTGTGGTTCAACCCAGATGGTCCAGATGTTTCTTTCTTTTTCATCAGTGATCTGCAGGTTCTCTTCACAGTAGCACTTTTGTTTTATTTTTAATACACTGTACATTAGTCTATCATTGGATAAACATTTTTTTCTTGCAGCAAGTTCCTTATTCCAAAAAGCAAAATGACCTCAATCTTTAATTCAGAATTTAAGCACTTTCCTCCTCAAATATCCGTAAAAAAGATCGCCTTCTTCCAATTCTCTGTTCAAATTCATCACGTTCACTTTTAGGTTACCATCATTTTATTTAATGTAGCTGAAACATTTCAATCTGATTCCATATTAATATTTCCCTTTTTCAGATGAGGAAAACAAAAGCTCAGAAACTATCTTGGAGTCAGAAAGTAAGAAGGAGCTTAGAAAGGCTTAACATTTTCCATGCTCCTGCCTGGCTTCAGAGCTCATGCTCTCTGCCTTACCATGGCAGGTGAAAGATGACCCCAAATTCTTAGGTACACCACCTGCCAAAAGACCCCTCCTATGGATTCTGTGACTACTTCAATGAGAAGAATAGGGCAGAAAAGATGCTGAGAACTTAAAATCTGACAGTGTCCATTTCCTGTCTTTGGAAACTTTCTGTTAAAGGCCTGAGCCACGTATGAAGTCTGAATCTTCCCACCATGCTAGAGAAGCCACATGTTATTGTTCTGGTCAACAATCCCAGCTTACCCAACCAGATAGTGTATCATGCATATGAATAAAGGATTCTTAGATTCTTCAGTCTAGCCCTTCACCAGCAGAACACCATTCTTGGCATCATGTGGGGCAGAAGGACCACCCAGCTGAGCCTTATCCAAATTCCTGACCACAAAATCATAAGGTATGATTGCTATTTGAAGCCAAAAGTTTTGAGATAGTTTGTAAAGCAGAAATAGCTATTGATCGATTATAATGAATAATTGATTATAATTACAAAATGCCAGTACCGTGTTGGAATTGTCTGCTCCATGCTTTACTCTGTCTGAGTAGTTTTGAACATCTCTGCAAAATCACAACCACAGCTCTTTACATTGTGTTGATCTATACTTAGACTCTCTATCCATATCCTTTGTTTTGCTGCCAACAATTCTTGAGTGGACTGGAAAGAATTCACTGTCTCTGACTCTTTGGTTGCAAGATTAACTTTCAGGCTTCTGGTTTTAGCAACATGGCAGACTGAACCAGTAAGCATCACCTTCCTCATACAAATACACAAAAATACTAGAGAAGTATAAATTTTAAAATGAACACATAAACGCAAAGAAAGGGAATGCTTAGGTACTTGAAATGAAAGTTCAGTTTGCCGATACCATATTGTCCTTCAGAGCTGTTGATTATAGGCCTTTGGGTCTGAAATTTCTTGCCTACATAAAGACAGGAAATGCCGCTTTGAATCTGTATATAGTGGGAACCAGAACTGAACCCCCAGCATGAGATATGCACCTTTAAAAGATCTGATAGACTAAGAAAAACAGTGAGAAAGCTTGTCTTGTAGCTTGGTTTCTGGGTAGGGAAAAAATGCCTCTCATGAGAAATCAAAGTTACAAGCTCATGTAGTGCAAGGTGGGAGAGTTCAAGCTTACATTGCCTTTGTGATGTGAGAATCGAAGTCAAAAACACTAGACACAGGTCTACGGTCCCTGTAGAAAGACATGCAAAATATATATATATTTTTAGGAACACATTCTCAAACTTGGGCCACATGGAATTCTCATAGGTTTAAAGACAGAGCAAAACCAGACCGAAGCTCTTCCAAAGACAAACTCAATACAAAATCATGAAATTGCACTAGGAAAGAAGACACTGAATAGGGAGTTAGACACAGCAAGCTGAAGAATGGACACCTCAAGAAGTAGAACTAACAGAATACTTTGAAAGGGATGGCAACGTAAGTATATTTATATATGTAGAAGGATTTAAACAGAAGAGTTAGAAAAAATAGGACACAAAGAATTAAAAAGTAGAAGATGAATTTTCAGGTTGATCCAAGATAAAAAGTAGATCCCTGTATTAAAAAGTCCGTGGGTACCATTAGTACTTCTGAATACAATGATTGAAACCTTGTGATTGCTCCAGGCTGGAATTTTATTCTACAGTCCTGTAAAGTACAGATCATTGGATAAAGGGAGAAAATATTCCTTCCAAAGAGAGAATGACCTCTTTCATATAGCTGAATGGAGCAACATGTTTAGCCAAGTTCATGTCCAAGGGAGGAGAACCTTCAGCTTGCACTGAGTCCTGGCCATTGGAGAAGCCGTGAGACTAGACCTTGTGTAAAGCAGCTGACTCTGCCATGAGGGAAATGCCCTTTTGTTTACTGAGCTTCTCCCACCCATGCCTTGCTTTACTTTCCTCTAAAAGCCTGAGATACTGGGAATAAGAGTCTCAGCCTCCAAGAAAGGGAGAACACATCAAGAGAGTTGGGATTTCTGGGGTAATCAAGTTCACTTGATTGATTAGCCTAAGTGCTCAAGTAAATTTCAAATCACAGTGTCATGTATCATTGTCCACGTCCTTCCTCCAAACACTCCCCACCTCCCACCCAAGGGCCCATGTAACTTGCTATTGAGAACCTTTGATTTCTTAGGTATTTGTGTGGTAGGGTTTTGTTGTCTCTCCTGAAGAAAATGGTGGCCATTTGTACTCAGCTGTGGAATAAAGGAAATCATGACATATCTTCACAGCAGACTTCCTATTTGATGGTTCTAGCCTATTTTCAATATCCACAACCTGCTGCAACCTAGGAAAATCGACTTCGTCCACTGCCATCCCATTCCCCAACCCCAGAGCTAGAATCCAGGTGAAACAGTGAGGCAGGGAAGCCTTCAGGATGGAATATGGCAGGTGGGGGCCTGCCTCAGGCCACCATTCTCAACATTGGCTGCACACCAGCTTTCAACATCCCAAAGCCTGGACCTCACTCAGACCAATGAAATGAGAATCCCTGAGGGTAGAAACGGGGTTGGGATGCAAGATAAAATACAGAGTTTGGGTCATACTTACACTAAAAGATTATTTGTTGTTTATCTGAAAATCAGATGTAACTGGGCCAACCTGTATTTTTATTTGCTAAATCTGGCAACCTCAACCCAGTCAGTACTGCCTTTTAAAGCTCCCCCAGAGACAGCAACATGCATGCAGTCAGTGATTTTCAAACTTCAGTGTGTTAAGAATCACCCCAACTGATCATTAAACACCAATTTCCAGGCCTACCTCTAGGGATTCTCATTCTGTTCTTCTAGGATGGAGCCCAGAATGATCAATTCTAACCAGTTCCTGGGTGATTCTTGGGTTGCTGGGGCTCCGACCACACTGCAGGTAGCAGGAGTGTGTTCTGGCAGATCTGAGGGTTGAGCTCAAGTCTTCCAACTCCTCTGTCCTTCCCACTATGCAGATTGCATGGATTTTTGTGTGGGTCCTTTTGCTATAGCATGAATTTATTTTTCTTCGTTCTCCTCTTGGTTCTCTTCTCAGATCTCTTGCTTGAGGAGTTAGTTCCCTGGATCTAATTGTATGTTATTAGTAATAAGTTCAAGTCAGATGCTGAAGCTAAAAAACCCCCTCCCCACACCACCGCCATGATTGATTATATTTAGGATCTATTATTTGCTCTGGCTATGATAAGCTCTCTGGGGGAATAAAGGAAACCTAAGGCACTATCTTCACTCTTAAAGGAATTTGTTGCATCTGAGACAAGAAAATTACATTTAGAGAGAGAGAGAAAAAAAGGCAATGCGTATTCTTCTTTCACATTGGGAGTTATTTCCTGAAGAAATTAAAGAGATTCAGCAAAAAGAGAGAAATTGGAGGCCAGATCAGAAGGAAGAGGACTGGAAAGAGGAGGGAAGAGAACAATTCTTCCAGAACCTTCTAAAACATTGCTTTTGTTTCCAGCAGTTTTACCTTTGTTCAGCAACTTATCAACAGTGTGATCTTGGAAAAGTCACCTTAACTCCATAGCCTCAGTTTCCTCTTATGTGAAATAGTCATGCTGATACTAACTTCATAAGTTGGTGAAGGATTAGAGATATTGGTTCTAAAGTGGTGGTTGCAGTACCTGATGCTTGCAAGTTCCCAAACTCAGCTGCCCATGTGAGCTGGGTGGGCAATGTTGGTGAGCAGGTGCCATGATCAGGCTCCCTCCAACTCCTGGTGATTGCCACTATGTGACAAAACAGCCCTGGGAGCCACATCTTTAAGTTTCCTGAGACAAAATGAAATGTACTTTTGTGGCATTTTCCAGTTTTTAGGTGTGTGCTCATTGGTTTCAAAAGTGTTCATTGTCTATGGCTGCTTCAGTGCTTTACAACAGCAGAGGTGAGTACTTGCAACAGAGACCATAAGGCTGCAGAGCCTAAAAGTGTTTACTCTCTGGCCCTTGGTGGAAGAAATTTGCCAACTCCTAGACTAAAATTGCACAGCAGAACCTCAGGTGGAGGGAGTGGCCCCTCTGTTGATGATTCCCTGCCTATTCCACTCACTATTCTGTGCCTTCTCATCTCCTCCCTCCACTCTGTGTCTTCTTCTCCCTCCATGTCTTTCACTTAGTCATGGTTTCTGCTTCCTCACACCTTCTGTTTGCAGAAAGCCTTCGGTGGGCAGTCTCAAAGGTCTCACTACACCATGGACTTTCAGCTTCAGCTCTCACGATCACCATCACCATCACCATCACCATCACCATCACCATCATCTTTTTTCAGTTTAGACTCCAGAGATGAAGACTGTGCCTTATCCAGTTCATCTGTTCTTGTTAGGCCATGATATATGTCTCTGTTCAGCCTCTGGATTGGATTTATTTGGGTCAAAGTGGCCACTTGGCTTCAGTTGATTGACATCTTTGGTATTGTCTTACTACCAAGACCTTTGTGATTGGAATTAATTATCTTTCTCAATCTTTTCATGATTCTATCTTGTACCATGGCTTTATCTCAATTAAACAACACTGCCAAGATATCTAAGTACTGTTGACCCTTGAACAATAAGAGTTTGAACTTCGAGGGTTCACTTATATGTGGACTTTTTTCTACTTCTGCCACCCCTGAGGGAGCAAGACCAGTCCCTTCTTTTCTTCCTCCTCCTCATCTACTCAACATGTAGCTTCATTCTCAAGATGATGAGGATGAAGACCTTTATGATGAACCACTCCCAGTTAGTAAATAGTAAGCATATTTCCTCTTTCTTTGGATTTTCTTTTCTCTAGTTTATTTTATTTTAAGAATGTGGTGTATAATATACATAACATACAAAATATGTGTTAATCAATTATTTATGCTATCAGTAAGGCTTCTGGTCAATAGGGGTTATTAGTAAAGTTTTTGAGCAGTCAAAAGCTACACATGGATTTTCAGCTATAGAGAGGGTCAGTACCCCTAACTCCCACATTGTTCGAGTCAACTGTAGATAGTATTACTCCTGTTAGGAATAACGCTCCAAATCCTAAGGACAAAGGATTCTTAGCAAAACAATTTTACTTCTGCACAGAGGGGTGCCTCCTTGGCTAGTCGCCATGAGAGCACACCTGAACAAAGGAGCATGAGAGCCTTTATTCCTGATGACAGTCCTGCCCCTGTACCCTTCCCCCTTTGGCTGTGGTCAGGTCGTACAATCTAAACTAATCCTGGTTGGCTAAACATTTTATCTTTTTTAAGATAAGGTGGGCATGTAAAATAAAATGGAGAAGAAGGGGGAAGGGATATCTGTAATGAGTTAGAAAGTTAGTCCTCTTTCCAAATAAGGAAAGAAATGTGAGCTGGTACTGATAGCGCCTGGTACTGTGGTGTGCCTGGGCATCTAACAAAGGCAAAAAGGAAAAAAAGGAGAAAAAAGGGAAAAAAGGGAGGGTACTATGAATTAAAGAATGAAAGACTGATTGGGTTATTTGAAGAGAAATCTCATCATATCCCACACTCCTATCTCTAAGTAGTATCACTCTTATTTTGTAGGTGAAGAAATTGAGACCTTCTCCAGTTAAACGTCTAAGTCAGGATGAACTGCTTTTCTAGCCATGGTGAAGCTGGGGCTCTGGATGGCACTCCTGGATCTCCTAAATCTTGATTCTGTGCTCTTTTCTCCCCACTTGGCTCCACTGTTTTGGCAGAGTCCCTTAAGCTGGACCTGATAGGATGATGTGGAACTAGCCATGCAGAAAGAACAGAGGGCGGGAAAACAAACCAGGTCACCAAGTTGTCATATTAGTCGGTTCTTGCACTGCTATAAAGAACTATCTGAGAGTGGATAATTTATGAAGAAAAGAGGTTTAATTGACTCACAGTTCCACAGGCTGTACAGGAAGCATAGCCGGGGAGGCCTCAGGAAACTTAACAATCATGGCAGAAGACAAAAAGAAGTAAGCACGTCTTCACATGGCCAGCAAGAGAGAGAGACAGAGACCAAAGCAGTAGGTGCTACACACTTTCAAACAACTAGATCTCATGAGAACTCTTTCAGGAGAACAGCAAGGGGGAAGTTTGCCCCCATGATTCAATCACCTCCTACCAGGCCTTTCCTCTAACACTGGGAATTACAATTGAACATGAGATTTGAGTGAGGACACAGAGCCAACCATATCAGTCCTCTTCAGTTGAAGGTACCTGTCAGGGGAGAAGGAGGTGTGTAGAGTGGGTTTGGCTAAGTTAGCCAGAACTGGGAAGCATGGCAGACTAGACTGTCCTGTGACTGGAGGGTGGTTTCAGAATGCAGAGGTCTGAGCCTGGGATAGCGTTCCTGGACCCTCAGTCCATATCTGCTATCTACAGGCAGCTAGAGAAAACGTAAGAATCAGCATCTGTCACAGGTGACACTGGGGCAGGACACTGAGCTCCCTGATCTCCACTGCGGCTGCACACAGCTTTTAAACTCCTTATTCTATCCAGCAAAGACAGTTTGCAGACGAAGGTTTCTGCACAGGCATCTATGCTCAGAAGAGATTTGCTGATGTAACAATTATTTGCACTATTTATATTCAAATGTTCTTTTAAAAAAAAGCAGCCTCCAAATTTACGGATAGTAACTGTGTGCAAATCAGGAAACTTATCTCCTTTTTATAGTCTAAAATCAAATTACACTTTACATTTTTCTCACTTGCAGAATATTAGATTGTGATGTCTAAATGACTTGTGTTTATGAAAAAGGTGAATTTTAAGAACAAATTTTAAAACTGCATAAGCAGTTTAATGGGTGTTTTTAGAAAGTGAGAATGATCAGCCGGTAAGTATTTATTATATATTAAACTGGAAGTTATATTGTCGCATCCATTAGTGCTGAATTCTGAAAATCATCGTGGCCCAGGTTTGTGTTTATGAATTGATGGACCACAGAACTGTTAAATAAAATTCTAAAAAAAAGTTGGTCAATTTCCCTGTTTTTTCACTAGTTTTCTGACCTGTAATCTGAGATCTGATTGAGTTCTCAACATCCTGCAAGTCACAGATTCTATCCCCATTTATGCACACGATTGTAGTTGTCACATGGTTTTCAGTGTTCTTAATGAGCTGTTAACAAGCTGTCAATTACCTATGCAAATTAGAGAGGCCGACATTGAGAGGTGGCTGTATCTGGAGTTAAAGAGTGCTACCTTGGAATGTTATGAAATCAATCATTCTTGCTTTAATAGCTGTCTTTACCCATGTGTCTCTTGTCATGTCTGGGTCTTTTTTCATTATAATACCTACCACAT